TCCAGTCCCCTCATCATCCTTGTAGCCCTCCGCTGGACTCTCTCCAGTAGCTCCTTGCCTTTCTTGAACTGGGGAGCCCAGAACTGGACGCAGTACTCCAGATGGGGCCTCACTAGGGCAGAGTAGAGGGGAAGGAGAACCTCCCTCGAGGTCATTGAGGTTAATGATGCTTGTTAGCTGTCAGAGGAGAACAAGCCTCATCTGGGGTCTCGCTCATCCCTGGGGCATCCTCATCCCCTGGGCATCCTTCTGAGGCAGAGGCTGCCCTGGCAGTGGTCACCTGCTCTCCAAGCCTTCCTGGTGCCCTTCTTGCTTGAAGATGGGAAGGCGGGAGGCTAAGACAGGCAGGGCAAAGGCAGGGTTAAGATGAAGCTGCCATGTCGCTGGTGCTGGGTGTCACCCCAGGGTCGTGCCCTGCACTGGGCTACATCGTCTCAGCAGGCAGCTCGCTGCGGTGAGTTCAGACACCGGGAGGGCTGAGGCACGCTCGCGTTTTGAGTTCCCCCCCCACCCCCGTGTCCCGGGCTGCCGCGGCACCGTGACACCGGCGGCTCTGCCATCCCGCCCTGGCGTTGCCATCTGGGCGCTGGAAACCTCACGAGCCTGGGAGAGTGGGGGCAAGAAAAGACGCGGCTGTGCGAAGGGCATAGGGCTGTTGCCGTGCCAAACCCACCCAGGCTGAGCGGGGCTTCAGCCAGGACCCTGGTGCTGGTCCCAGCCCTGGGGTGAAGACGTGTAGTGGGGGTGTTGGGAGGAAGCTCTCAGCAAGCAATGCAGGGTGGAGAGGAGGAGGAGGAGAAGCCGAAGCCATCCGTGGGTCGGGCAGCCCTGGCCGCCGCCAGAGCTGTTGGCATTTGCCATCCTTCCCCTGGTCCAGAGACACCAGTTTGGGTTTTCTGGTGGTGTCGCAGAGACGGGCCCGTTCCCAACCGGCAGGACGCCCGGGGGTTAATTCTGAGCATCCTTCCACTCTCTCAGCAGAAGGACGGCAAGCCCTAGCAGTGTTTTGTTTTTAGTATCAGCTGGCCAGTACAAGAAAAGCAATGTCAGGAAAACCATCTTTCAGTGACAATATGATTTATTCCTTCTTAAGGGGAAAAAAAAAAGGATTGGGTATTTTTTTCCCTTTTTTTGCCATTACCTAAAGATGGTTTGACAGTAAAGAACCCGTGATTAATTGCACCAAAAGAAATATAATAGACACCTTTTCTTGGCATCATCTGTATTTTGTGTGATTTTGCTGTTATCTTGTTGGCTCGATGCAGAAAAATTAACTCTGAGGCCGCTGTAAGGGATGCCGACTTCCTTTTCCTTATTACAGATTGATCTTTGATAGCTGGTTTTCTCTGGGAGCTCTTTTATTCCCACAAGTGATAGAAACCTTCTGCTGTTTTCCATATATTGCACTTAAGTAGTTCAATACCTTTTGGAGGCTGTATGGGAACATTTAATAAAGCCTTGATGATTGCTGTGTTTTGAAGGTTACATCATATGAGAAATTAGATATTGTTTTAATAGCTGAATATATCGATGCTGTTGATTTCAGATAAACCAATGTTTTTCTAATAAGGTGGAGAAATGATACTGGTTTTTGTTGTTTATATCCTCTAGAGTGTGAATATTTTTCCATCTGTGGTTTCCAGTAAAATGGATTTTCAATCTCTCTGAAATTTCTGCCCAAGTCCCAGCAATATTTGCTTAAGAGTAATCAGAGTATTACCCAAATCTCTGTTCAAAGCGACAGTGACCTTACCAGTGGTAAGCAATAATTGGATTATTTTCAGAGATGTAGGAAGATTCACTGTAATAACAAAAGAAGAAATACCGAATGATAACACCACTTGTCTGCAGCCCTGCAAGCCGCAGCACTTTCAATTTAATAGCTTAGCATATTATGAATACTGAGTAAGAAAGGCAGAGACTTGGGGAACCGATGCTGCCTTGCAGTTTGGGGTGATGCACGTGCTAATGTTGAGGGTTCTCTTATTGATTATTGTTATTAAAGTGCTTTTGTCGGGATGTGTTGCTCTGGCTTCACCCCAATGGCGCAAGCAAACGCGTGGCTGAAAATGTCCTGGCTTGGTGGCATAGAGCAGCCGTGGCTGGGACGCCTACGTGTCCTGGGTCCATGTCGGGTGCCACTGCCGTGCCGTGGCCTCGGCAAAGCCCATTCCTCGCCGTGGGCTTCTCATCGGCGTGGGTGCGAGGGCAAAGCCTGTGGGCACGGGCTGCCCTGGGGTGCGGGAGCAGCATCCCCGCGGAGCACCGGGCAAACGCCAGTGGGGTTTCTCCCAGAAAAGCTGAGCTGCTGTGAAGACAAATTGGAAACCATTTGGAAGAGAAAATCCATACCAGCACAGTGTCGGGCGAGCCTGATTGCCTCGCTCTCTGCTTTTAATTGTAATGAGTTATATGGCTCGGCACGGCGGGGTGCTGAGCCTCTTGGCTGAAACTTGTGTAATTCACGTAAGTGTTTACACAAAAGCCGAGTAAATGTTAAGCTTCCTACAGATTTCAATATACATGAACCGGTGTTTGCGTCCAGCCGGGGAGACCGCGGAGGCAGAGCAGCGCGTATGGCTGTGCGTCGGGGCAGGGGACCTGTGCGCTCATGGGAATTGCGCGTGTGAAAAGATATCTAAAAAAATATAACCTTCGACTTTGCCTGGAGTGGGTTGTGCAGTGACCTATCTGGTTCCCCTCAGAAAGAATTCTGTATAAATTTGGTTTATTAAGAGATGCTCCAGGGCACAGGGGAGTTTTCGCCTCTCGACTAAAAAAGAGACTCGTGCCGTCGAGGCTACCGGCCTCCTTTGAAGCCCTCCCGTGATGCTTTTAATTACTGCAAACGAGCCTTCTGCGGCACAGGCTGCTGCGTCGTTCAGACCAACGCTGCTGGCCAGATGGGATCCCTCCCGGGCTGGACCCTGGCGATGTCGGTGCCCGTGGTGGTGGCAGGGAGCAGGTCCCACGCGCTGGGTGGGACGCCGGTCCTGACCTCCGCCGGCTCCTGGCTGTGCCCGCTCTGCTGGGAGGTGACCCCCGGCTCTAACACCAGGTCCGGCCGTGCAGAGCACCAGCTCTCTTGGCTTCCCCTTGACCTGAGAGGAGCTGAAATTCGGGACCCTGCACATCAGCCAAACCCTTGTTGGTGTCCTGAGGGGCCAGGTTTGCTTTGAAACAACAAAACTGAACCAGGCTGTCGGAGAATTTGCATTAAGACAATTCCCTGGGCAGGGCGCAGCCAAGAGATCTGTATACCTGGATTAATTTTATTTTTAGAAAGCATGCTAAGGAGCATGACGACTTCATTACCACGCCAGTTGCAGCCCTGCCTGTTTAAGAGTATTTAATCGTTTTCATTCCCTGTGCGCAGCCGTTGTAGTGGGTAGGGCAAAAGCAGGAAAGGAAGGGAGTTTGTGTGACTGGAAACAATAAGGATGCTGAAGCAGAAAGCAAAAGTGCTTCTCGTGAAGCATCCCTGTGAGATTCCCTCCCCAGAGCATCCCGATCCTCAAGGAACCTGCAGTGTGGTGTTTAGCTATATTGTCTGATTCAGGATACACAAAACTTGTGCGCAAAAGCTGACTTGCAGCAAACTGAGTATACGTTTAATTAATTTGGAAAAAAAAAAAAAAAAAAAGGTGTTTGAAAGGCAGCCCAAGCTCCCATTTCATCCCATGGCACCAGAAGCTGGGATGGAGGAGAGGTGAGGGGTGGTCAGTGCCATGGCGGGGGGAACCTTGACCCTTCCCAGCCGCCCCGGGCTTGCTCTCATGCCTGCTTGCCTCGAGTCTTTTTACTGCTCCTGTGCAAGGAAGAATGTATAAAAACAGCTAAAAGAGAGAGGAAAGGAGGGGAGGAAAAAAAGAAAAGGATTTATGTTTCTCTGGCAGTGGCTTTCTGAGGAGCCCTGATTATTCAGCAGCAGTGGAAAAAACTGCAGAAGACATAAATAATCTTCAGGATTATGCTAAAGCCAAGCTTCAGTCATTTTCTTGGAAAAAAAAAATGCAAGAGACCTGTCCATTTAATAACAATCAACCAGAATTTCTCTAGGACTTCTTCTGTTTTCATGAAAAGGATCAGTTGTCTTGGAGGGAAACTGCAATTCTGGTATCTAGAAATACCCTTTGGTTGGAGAGCGCCTGGTTCGGGGTGTTACCTGTTTTTCATTGGGCCTTTTCTTCCTGTTTTCATTTTATGATGTTATCGTACATTCTCATCCACAGTTACACACTAAAATGATCAAAAGCAAGGAGCTGGTTTATCATGGAATGGCGAACCGCGGCTGTACTCTGTGGTATAGGCTGTATCGAGATAAAAACGCTACATGATTTTTAGCTTTCCCTGTGTTTATATTTGGTGCCAGAGGTACTCGAGCGATGTTGCAAAGCGTGTATACATTGCAGTCAGGCTTTCCAAAAAAATTGCGGTATCTTTTGAAATCTATACAGGACCTTACTTACCCTGCTGGGCTTAATTTTAGACTATTGAGTTTATCGTTCAAGGAGGAAAAACTGGGTTTGTTGTGTGCTGCACTTAATCAAGTGCAGCAAAAAACTATCACAGGCATCGTTCATCTTCATGAGCCAGTTTTTGTTTCCATTTTTGTTGTAGAAAAACCCTGCCCCAGTAAAATCCACTCGTTTATTCTGCAGATCTGGTGGCACTGAGGTTATGGCTGCTGGGAGGTGTTGGCTGGTTTGTGGTGGCAGTCCCCGTATGGATGTTTATGGGGTCTCAATGTTGAGAACGGTGTGTTTAATCTTTGTAGAAGTGCCAGGAGCTGGGGATTTGGAGATGCTTGGAAAAAATGGGAAAGTCTATGGCGTTCCCATTGCAGCTTCCAAAATGCTGCAGAAGCCTGAGACTGCTGGGTTCCCAGCAAGAGGCAGGGTTTAGGGAGCTCATGCATCCTGAGACAGCTTTTATCCTTCCCATCCATCCGCCCTCCTGAGAAGCCCCATCCATGGTGGAGGCGAGAGGGGCTCACCCCTTTCGTGGAGAACCCGGGTGTGGTTAAGCAGTTGCTGGTACCAGGCGTGGAGGAGGTCTGCGGTCCCTCTCCGCTCTGCTCCTGCTCCGTTCCTCAGGCTCTGGGCGTCTCTCTGGAGCGCGGTGCCCGGGGTGATGAGGGCAGGGTGAGGAAGGGACGTGTCCACCATAACTCGTGGCAAGGGACCACTTGTTCCAGCAGTGAGCATCTCTCCTCTACCTGGGACATGGCCGAGGTTGGGGTTCCTGGCGGACAAAGCCGCAGATGAAGTTTCAGCTGTGGGGAAGCCTGTTGGCTGCAACTACAGGACAGCTTAAAATGTAATGAAGACTTGAAGAAACATCATGATTCACCGATCTGGGCCTCGCTGGCACATGGGTAGTTTAGAGCAGGCTTCATGCAGCGGTCGCGGGTGCAGAGCGACTGGCGAGGTGCCTGGGTGGCAGTGGGCTGAG